TTTTTCAAAAATAGCGACCGTAATTCAAAATATACCACGTGAAAGAATGCCTCTCATGGCGCGATCGTACATAATCGTGGTAAAATGTAATGTCTTTGAGACAAGTTTCCTCTGTAGCATACTGAGTGCTTATTTAGGGAGGGTCGGACGCGAAAATATTTGGCTGAAAATGTTATGATGACGAAACGCTATGAAACTTTATCATATTCGTGGGTTCGGCCCGATTGGTTAATAAGCACTTAATCATATGGCCACTGCCTTTTCCCTTTCTCTATATTTTCCTCCTGATTTTACATCTCGCAAGGCCATAAACAGGGTTGTGCGGCTTTATCCAACCTTGCACTCGCCAAACATCACGGCTTTCGTAGGCAAGATTTCCCAATGTTTTTAAATCTAAGTGCACGTGAAACTGGACTGGTCATAGGATACATGTCTGAGGGTCCCAATGGGGTTAACCTTTAGCCGTAAAACGGCCAAAATATTTAGCCGTTAGACGTAAAAATGGACAAATTTTAACCGTTAGTCGTAAAAAAAGTTAACCGTAAAAATATCTCTGGTGGGAACAATGGAAAGGTGTTAACCGTAAGCCGGAAATTGGCCAAAATTTTAACCGATAGCCGTAAAAGCCATCACCCCATTGAGACCCTCATGTCTTAGATGTTATTCATTTTCAGAATTAAAATTTGTTGTTAAAAATAGCACCTGATGATCTATACCCCTAATTTTATGAACTACGCTGCTCAGTGATATTGACTTATGATTTCTTGAGTAGTTTAACGTAAAGTAGTTTTCATTATTGCCACTCTTTTGAAGAAGTTTCTGTTAAAACCATATCCGACTCTCTCTGATTTAACCATTTATTCTTTTTATTAATTCTTTCAGTGAACGAAAAAACTGGTTTGCTTGGACAGAGAGTGGTTACAAGTCAAGTGCGAGAAGAGTTTCCGCCATCACCCACACGTGACCTTTATCGCGCTCTGTCTCCTGGGTACTCACCGACTGGCGATCTTGAATGGCAAGACGAGTTCGATTTTGAGGTGGAGCCTGGTGACCAGGGATTCAAACAAATGCTTCTGCCCAAGTTACAGATGTTGCAGAATCATCTGATTAATGAATTCTACGACAGCGAGAAGATGGAGACGAAAAGGAAAAAACTCTTGGAGACCACGGTAAGTTTGCCGAAGTTCCAAGGTTAGCAAGCGTTTTTTTCTACTGTTTGATTCCTGAGGGGTTGAGGGGGAGGGGACAGACTATTTGATTCCAGAGGGGGTGGAACAGATGATATAACATCTCACAAAATTCTCACAAATTCTTGTGCAGATCAAACAAAAGCCCCAGATTACAATTATCAGCCCAGTACAACCGCCTTCAGATCAGTCAAATCACAGCCAAAATGCGAAGTCACAGAGTATGGCTATCGGCCCAGTACAATGCGAACGGACACCCACCAGACAGACGGTAACAATACTTGCACTTCTTCCTTCTTTCTGCTTTCCTTTGGGCGCTTGAGTTTCTATGTTCCTCTTTCTTCTGCAATAAACCTAGTTATTTTTCTTTCCAAGTCATTATTCATTTTTTCGGGTTTGCATTCTCTCTCTGTTGAGAATTCACCACTGAGGCTGACAGTCACTATAACACAGTGTTGCTGATTTTCACTTAGATTCAACCAAAATCTCAGATTACGACTGACCACGTGAGGAGGTCACAGACTTTCGAGACAACCCGCAGACAATCGGTAAGACGTTTTGAAATTTAATTCGGATCTCCCTGGTTGAGTAAGAAACCTTTAAACGAACTTAAAAAGCCATAGATTTGTGCTCAAAAATTCTCGTTCTTGATTGGTCGATGCATAGATAGATTATGGATGGCAAGATCGGATTTCTGTAGTGCACTTCTTCGAAATTGAAGCTGAAGCTGAACAATGTTACTTAAAAAAAAAACTTTGAAAATCTTCATATTCGATTTGTGTGTTACAGCTATCGTCATAAAGTTAACGTGGAAGCATTTTCTAAAGCGCTGAAAACTATTTTGTTGAGTAACGTGCAGCGACGTCGTACAAATTCCCTTTGGCTAGTGATTTTGTTCCTAATAAAATGCATAGATGACAGCTTGAACTCCTTGTGATTTCGTGCTTTAAGCCATGTTTTGAAATATTTTCAAATTGCACTCGTCCAGTTCCAAAGCTTTCAAAAGATCACTCGTGCCGATAAAATGAGCTGGAACTCATGCAATTTCCATTACTTACTCAAAAATGCTTTTAAATTTTGAATTAATAGTTTTGAGATAATAGTACAGTAAATGTCGTAGTGTGGATGTAATCATCGGGAAAAATCGTATCTAGAAAACTGGTTTACTCAACCAATTAATCTATGATTATTATTGATATTTATCTTTTAAACCAATCATATCTAATCTAGAGTCTAACCTCATTCACCACTATTCCATATTCCAGTTTTTACGCCTTTACAAAATTTAAATTATCAAGACTTTTTCTTTGTTTTAGGAGCATCTCGCTAGAAAACTTCGAGTAAGATTTGCGGATGAAAGTCCACCAGGACGAAATCTCACTGATGAAGATAAAGAGCGTTTTAAAAGGCTTCAAAAAATGGAAAGAAGGTGAGTTTCACAGAGACATGTCGTAGACGTTAAAAGTTATGTTTTGATGCTGAATGATACTATTACCTTTAGTTCAGTGAAGCAGAAATGAACTCGGCAGGCGTTTAGTAAATTGAGAGTGGTGTTTGGCTTACACATTTAGGTCTATTTATCGCAATATATCTTATGTACGTTAAGATTATTATTTTTAAATAAATAGATTCCATATTGCCATATGCCTCTGTTCTGTAATAGATCGCAGATGAAGTAAAAAAAAGAGAGAATAAACATGTGGCGCACAAGGCGCGCCTCAGAACTAGGATATCAGTTAATTGCAGTTAAAACCCCCTCACTTACATCCAGAAATGCATGCAGTAACGAAAATGGTGAAAATGCGTCAAAACCGTCAATTCCGCCGAGCTGATTTCGCTTTGACGATCTTGACTAAAAATTCCCCAAAATCGTCAAATCCACGAACATTCACTCCGTTTGACGAAATTTCGTCAAATCTGCCACTTTCGCGACTGCGTGCATTTCTGGACATAAGTGAGGGAGCTTTAACTGCAATTAAATGATATCCTAGTTATGAGGCGCTTAGCGTGCCATATTTATGTTCATACCACATTTTGACATCAGGCGTGATCTGTTACGGAGCAGAGGCACGGCAACATGGAATCAACTGTTTATTTAAAAATTGTAGCTATGGGATCAGTAAGTGTTGATATGGGAACATCTTTTAATTCTCTCGCTCCCTTCATTTTTCTCTTCTTGACAGAGTCTTCGCGCAGCATATCAGTAGATGGACAGCCAGTAGCCATCTCAACTTGTCAGAGTAGACTTTTTTAAAATAATCTTTGTAAATACATTTATAAATCGCATACTTAGTTATCGATGGCAAACATTTCCATTACGTTGTTTTATACCCGCTCACTCGTTCACAGTCCTTAAGAGCGTTCTTATAGAAGATAGCAATTTTAAGTTGATTATTTCCATGTTGATTTCACAAGTCGTTTGAAAAGAGGAACTTTGGTGTCACGTGGCAGTGTATAGGTATCAATAACATCCGTCCTCATACCGCGGTCTGTTTGGCGTGCGAGCAAGCTCTCGTATTTGCGTTTTGCTTTATGGCACAGCCGGCTATTTAGTCCTCCGCAGCTGCCTAAAGAAACGTAATGAACCTTCTCTAAGCAGCTAATCAAATTTATTGAAAAAAACGTTGTTTGCAATCTAAAAGAGTGAAGATCGTATGGAATTGGCTTAGTATGATAACATGACAACAACCCACATGGTTACGATACGTGTAAAATACATATACTACACTTTTGATACATTGAAAGGAATATGCAAAGTGCAAATGAAATTCAACTTCCTCCAGTCTCTCGGAAGACTTGTGTAAAGGATGAGAATATTTATATATTTTCCAAGAAATAACAGATAGGAGTGGTGTAATTTATGACTACAAATATTTTTGTACATTTCATTTTTTACAGATTGTGTTAGGATATTATTAAACATATCAAAACGGGTTCGACTATTGGCTGTTTTGATTTTTTATTTTTCCATACATTGTCGGTGAAGTTCTTGCCTTTTTTTAGGGCCGGTCTCAATGGGGCGATGGTTTAACGGCTAACGGTCCTGAATTTTGACCATTCAGTAGCTAACGGCTAATTTCTTTCCATTATGGTAAAAAGCAAGTTTCACAATTAACTTTTGCCGTAAGGCTGCGATAAACGTGAGCTGATAGGGTCCAAGGTAATTTAATTTGTTAGGGATGCGAGCTCATCCCCAACGCTACTACGAGCATTTTGTCCTAACTGAAAACGTTGTCATTTCTATACGCTTTAATCGGGCTTATACGACCAGCCATTCCCCCATTTCTGTCTCTGTCTGTTTATCTATTTGCCCGTCTGTGTGTCTGTCTGTTTGTCTATCTGTCTGTCTCTCTAGCTTTCCTCGTTCAGATGTATCATGTGAAATTTTTTGTTTTCAGTCTGTTGTTCTTCTTCTTTATCATTATTCTTCTATGTTACATTTTGATCCATTTTTCTTCTTTTGATGTTCTTATCCGTTTCAAAACTAATTTCCTAAGGTTTCAACTCATTTTAAGGTAATTTTGCAAATCCAGTGGTAAACGGGTGACGTAAATTGTCTGAACTGGCTGTAACATCGAGTCGTTCACTCTACGCCAGACAACGCTGTTATTACGTTTGACGCTTCAAAATTACTATGCAAACGTAACCCAGGATTTTCAAAGCTTTCGCCAAAGTTACTCAAACCTTACAGAACATCAAGGGGTAGATGTGGTGGCCTTTGGGCCTGACTGAAAATCCTCGCAGAAATTAGATCTGTAATGAATTCGGAAAAAAACTGGCCGGGAATCAGTTGACTGGTTGATCATTAAGAAAATCATTTCCGTCGCACGAGAAGCAAGACCTAAAGCATCGGGTTTCTGCTTATTTCTTCACTTTTTACAGCAATAGATGCGTCTTGGACAATTTAACAAGCCCGCAAGCTTTTAGCTCCTGAATTAAGTTAAACGAATTGTACGTCCCTGAAGACTTTGACGTCCTTTGAAAGGTCTAGAAACGATACTGCTTATGGCAGCCATTACAGCATGTTTTTATCCATGTTAATTTTGAAAAGTAAAGGAAATGAAAAAGAACGGCTCTGCGGGATGTATTTTTTAGTGTATATTAATGACGTCTGAGTATGAGGAAGAAGCCCAAAATTTAGAATTACAAATTTCAACTAAAACACTTTCATCAGAAAATATTTTGAGAGCTCTTTGAAGCATATACGTTTCTCGTCGAGTTTTTTCACTATTTTGAAATCCTAGTTATTTATAATATTCTCTGAACAAAAAGATTAAATACAAATTCAATCCAACATGTGGAGCAGTGGGCAAGTTATATGGAACAAGGGAACCACAATGCAAATCCCAGAAAATGGATTCACTGAATCAATTTTTCCCAAAGCTCCCTCTGATTCTTCGTATATTCCTGTCAATATATCATAACTTATCCACCATCAAAAGAATGCTCTTTTTTAGGTTCATCAAATTCTTACAATCTTACCTATTACAAAAAGTATCATCAGTATGCAAATCAAAATTAATCTTTCGGCGCCCTCAAAGACAGACGGTTTATTTACTTTTGGCGAAATGCACTTTGTCAACTTTCTATTTTAGAATTCGGCTGCTTCTTTGTTTGGTTTCTCAAACTGACTCTATTTGATCAATGCCATCTTTTAAAAGCATTTTTAAAAAGTAATGTGTGATACTGCTAAGTCCCCCCTTACAATGAGTGGTTCCGGTAAAAACTTCTTCATTATGATCTTTTTTCACGTTCTAATGGATTGGGTTTAAGTATCATGCGCTCATTTGAAAAATCGTGCTTTCATTTATACTAAGAAAGCTATTAAGTACCTGGCCTTAAACGTTTGAAGCTATGACTTTCAGTTCTAAACATAAATGAAATATCTTGTTACCTACACATTTAAGAAGAACCTTTTACCAAAAGTACACCAAGGTAGGTAATGGTCTAACTGAGCGTGAAATTTATCGGCAAAGGAAAAAAAAAGGTGTGAGATGTATACAACTGTTATGGATACAGGTCAAAAAGCGAATAATACTGCAATAGAGGTTTCTGATCCGTATCAGTTATTTGCTTTGCTGTGCCATGGGAAGAAATGCTGTTTTGTCGCTTTAAATGCAAATTCCCTCCTTTCCCCCAACTTTCGCATCTGCCTCTTAGACTTCTCAGTGGGCGGCCAGGTCCAAGCGAAATGAGGAAGTAACTCAGATATCATTTCAATTATAAAGTGTAATAGTTTCTTCCAAAGTTAAGTTTAGTTCGTTTAAATCGATAGTTGGCGACAGAGACCTGTAGACAGAACGAAATGAAATTGGTATGCTTTAATAATTGATCACGTACAAGCTTGAAAACCCGCATAGAAACTAAGTTAGTTTTTTAGAGGTGTTGCCATACTCCAGGTGACTGCACAAGGACAGCTAGTATTGAAATTCATAATATTCTTAAAAGCAACACTCATCATTTCCAGCATAAACTCCTCGTCGTCTCTTGAATTTGAAAAGAAAATTGCTTTTAACCGCGTGCATGGGCCAAGTTGGAAGTGGCCAAAGACTGGTAAGTGTCATTTGAAAGCCTGAAAACGTCTGAGGCTTTTTTTTTTTTGGTTAACATTATTCTGCCTGTGTGTAAAGCGTTGTGAAAGAATCGTTTAAGATTTTCATAATACTGTAAAAAGGGATGAATAAAGAAAAATTGTGCACAGGACCCCTTCAAATGCTCAATTTTTAAAAGCTTTCATCCTTTCTTCATATTTAAATTTGTCCCTGATTGCGTCAAGCAACCAAGAAAAGGAAATTTTTTTCTACGCTCTAGTATTAAACGGGCGAGTTTCCTCACTCGATGTTTGCGTAAAAAGACGCGTACTTATGGAGACCAAATCTTTTAATTTTCATTTTCTTGCAATAGTGACCTCTATAAAAGACAAAAATTCCCTTCGTTTATAGTTCTTGATAATCACTTCGCTTGGCTTTTTTGGATTCACTTAGCACTGTTTTATAAAAAGTTCAAGTCACTGAAATTTCGATCAACCTAGAATTCAGGAAAGCAAACAAGTTTTATTTAATATATGCAAATGTTAGATGAAGAGAGACCAGAATATTGTATCCGCGTGGGATGCAGGACATTTGTAATATTCAACACGAAGCACCTAATGACAGGAAAGATATATTTTGCTTTTTAAGTCTAACATTTTCTTTTCATAATTTTGAGGCGCATTTTGTTTTTCTTCTAGAGGAAATTACGAGAGAGAAAATTCAGAAAACGATATATTGCTTATTTATTTCGTGTTTTAACTTGCTAATAAAAAAAAAACGAGTTCAAGATAAGAAAAATCCTCAGGGATAAAGCTCCTTTCTTGAATTTCACCAGAAACGTTTTTCAGTGATGAATTCGTACATCAGAAGCTGCGAAGTAGCGTATCTTCAATAAAGATTTTTCCACTCGATTGTTTCGTAAGCCTGAGTTTATCATGAAAAAAGAACCCTCTCTTGTTTAGGCTAACCGCATGAATTTTCCTCTACTATTTTAACCCTTTCACTTCCAAGACCTCAATTATTATTTCTCCTCACAGCCTGCCAAACAATTCGTATGATGTTAGTTCAGAGATATTTTGGATCATCTAATGATTCCCAAATTGACATATTTCTTTATTCCCATCACTTGTCTGCCTGATTTTTTAATGAAAATGCGCAGAGAAATTCTGTGTTGGTCACTGATGGGAAGAGTAGGTAAACGAATTTTTTTACTCCTAAACGACGCTGTTTATTTCATGTATATGATAAGAATACTACAGTGCAGATGTAACATTTTACAATTAAATCTTAAAATTTTATCAAAGAAACATCTCCCGACATGTTTCTTATTGAAAGAAAAATATTGCATATATCTTTTTCTTTACTTTTGAATTAGTTTTAATATTTAATTCAAATCCATGATACTTCTGAAGCTTTTAAACTTACGACTTGGAGTTTTCATTATGACTTGGGTGTTTTCTTAATCAAAATGGTGCTTCGAAACCAGTTGTTTAGAAACGTTTTTAAGCAATAAGAAAAGAAAAATACTAAACATCTTAATTTTGAAAAGTGAATTAAGGCTAGTTCTAGAGCAAGTTATGTACGAGTTTTGTAATTCATAACACTTGGGACTTACGACAGTTACTTTTAGGTAGACAAAATAGTATCACAAAACACGTTTTGAATTCTCGATTTTTCTCATAGGGATAAATGTATATTTACTGGTGCAATGATCATGAACACTCGAGAAAAAAATCTAGCACAACTTTATTTGACAAACTAATAGCTCCGTTTCGAGAACTTGTTTGAAGTAGAGCAGGCTGTTTTCGTGTTAATTGCGGGGCGTTTGAAAAATACAAACGCTTGGTGAAGAAAAGGTCACGAGCGCTGATATTAAGGAAAAACACTTAATTGAAAACCGAATTGCTGTATTGCTTCCTGTAAACTAAAATCATAGCAGAGAATTGTTTTTTCTTTGCTTAATTTTTTTTCAACTTCCAAAATATAGTTCCAAATAATACAGGTACTTCCTATCATAACATATTTCTCTGCTCGCCACAGAGGAAATTTGATTTTGGTGTACATGCTGTCACCTAGTAAGAAAGACCACCTCGGGATTATGCTCTCCATATCTTAACTATCCATTGTCGAAATTTAAAAGAAGATCTTACAATATAAAAGAGGAGCCTTGTTGTGAAGAAAAATCATCAGATTTTGGCTGTTGAGGATTGCGTGCGATACCACTTGATGAAATAAAACACTTCCCATTAGAACTGAAGGATTAGCGATTGGCGTGACATAAGACAGCAATAAATCGCCTAGATTGTGTGTCTTGATGCGAGAGGAGAAATTGATTAACAATTTAATCAAAGTGGGTCGATAAATACTATGGTGCAGGAAAAACAATATAAAAATACTTGCACGTAGGCCGC